TTTTCAAACGGATTCAATCAAAGAATGACTGTAATAAACTCAACAAACCTACTTTTCAGTTTCTTAAGAAGAAGAAGGGAGGACGAAGAACCACCAGTGCACGGTGGATCCAGACCAGGCCGCATGCCCAACTTGCCACAAGACTTTGAGGCAGGCTACGATCGACTGTTCCGCGACTACTTTTCTGAAAATCCTGTCTATCCGGATCACATTTTTCAAAGGCGATTCCGGATGCGACGGTCGCTTTTCTTGAGGATTACGGAAGATGTACAAGAACACAATGACTACTTTTTGCAGAAGGCCGACGCCTTGGGGAAACCGGGATTACAACCACTACAAAAAATCACCTCTGCCGTGCGAATGCTTGCCTATGGAGGTGCTTCCGACTTGAACGATGAATACCTCCGCCTAGGTGAATCAACTTCGAACGAAAGCCTTATCAAGTTTTGCCGGGCAGTCATTGATATCTATGGAGCTGAATATACTCGTGAACCCAACACGGAGGATTTGACTCGACTCCTTGCGATTGGAGAGAAGAGGGGATTTCCAGGGATGCTTGGATCCCTGGATTGTATGCATTGGGAATGGAAAAATTGCCCATCCGGTTGGGCTGGGCAATTTCAAGGGAAAGAGAAGGTAAATCAAATTAAATCACTCCCGGTCTTGCCTATATTCTGATCTAGATCCCATCACCCAGGTACCTACAATTGTCTTGGAGGCGGTGGCTTCTCAAGATTTGTGGATATGGCATGCGTATTTCGGATTGCCAGGCTCCAACAACGACATCAATGTTTTGGATACATCACCCCTCTTCAAAAGCCTCCTCAATGGTGAGGCTCCACAATGCCAATTTGTTGTAAATGGCAACACTTACAGGCATGGCTATTATGTTGCCAATGGAATTTACCCCGACTGGGCAACCTTGGTCAAGACAATCTCGCAGCCCCAAGGACTCGAGAGAAAATACTTCGCCAAGGTTCAGGAGGCTTGCCGCAAAGATGTTGAAAGAGCTTTTGGGGTTCTTCAAGCTCGTTTTGCAATCGTGTCACGGCCAGCTCGAGGATGGCGGCATGGAAATCTACAGCTCATTATGAAGGCATGTGTCATCCTCCACAACATGATTGTGGAGGATGAGCGAACATTAAATGTAGAAAACTTCTACGATACCTCTGCTACCATCTCAGAGGTCAACTTGGAGCGATCGGACGCTAGGACCGATTTCTCAGTGTTCATTTCTAATTTTCGCACCCTACGAAGCCAGGCAACTCACATCACACTGCGGAACGATCTCATTAAGCACCTTTGGGCCATGAGAGGAAGATCGGACGATGAATAGATTTTTTCTTCTTCATTTTCAATTTCATTGATGTAATCAATGAATACATAGATAATAAAAAAAACAATGCTGTCTGAGTGGAAACCGCGAGCATATGAAAGAGATGAGTAATTGGACCGTGATTCATAAAGAGAAATAAAAAGCATGAAAAAACCTCAGATCGAGCACTGAGGTATATCGATTGAGGTGGTTGTGGGTTGAGGATCGGTAGCAACAGTTGTTGCTTGAGTACTATTAGAGATGTTGGTCGAGGAGGTGGTCGCTTGAGTGTTGCTAGAGGAGGTTGTTGCTTGAGTCGGAGTGCTGCAGCTCGCTTGAGTTGATGCTACTCTAGCTTGTTCGGCTTCAGCTCTTGATCGTTCGCGGAGCTTGAGCATGATCTGCTCTCTTTGAAGTCGGTAGAACTCCTGAGTCACCTCATCGAGTCCGCTGATGTCTTTATTCATGATGGCTGCATCGGCCATGTTCTGCATCGTTTGAGTCTGGCTTTGATATATGTCGTTCTGGCGCTTGGATTGACTTGCGATCTCGGCTTGCGCGGTTGCCATGTCCTTCATTATGCGTGCCTCCGTAGCTGCGTCCCTCAGAATCGCTTTTGCCCTTTTTTTCCCCCCTGGTCGTTCTGGCTCGGGTCGATCGGGAGTTTCACTCGGAGTCTCGGTGTCTGAAGCTTGTTCAGAGGTCAAGGGGGGTGCTTCACTGCTTGGGCTTCTTGCTCGCTTTTTCTTCTTCTTGGGGCCTTCGGCGGTCTTTGTGTTCATATCTTGAAAATAATCGGACCATTTTGGAGAAGAGGTGAGGATATTGTAGCACTGAAGGAAGCCAAACGTCTTTCCTTGAAGCTCGGAAAAAAGAGCAAGAGCCTTCGTCAATCGATCCTCGGAAGTGGCACCGCTGGGATTCAACTGATCGATGTGTTTGACGCAACCGGCGAATTTGCTGACCCCATGAGAGATAAGTTGCCAGCGACCCTTGAGACTACCAATCGGTCGAGGCGGCTGAGGAATTGCGTCGTGGTAGCATTTAGATATGCGATCCCAGAATCGACTGCCGGCTTGATCGGTCCCAACACTTGGATCCTCGGAGACCTCAACCCAGGAGGAGCTTAGCTGAGCATCCTCATGATCTTGATAGGTGGGTCCCTTCTTTCGCTTTTCTTTCCTTTTCCCCTCCGGTGTTTGCTTGGTCTGGATTGATCAAAAAGAAAAAAGAAATAAGCCACATTGAGATTGGAACGAAAAGCGCATAAATTGTTCACTATCCCTTCCCGTTCATCAATGACCAAGAGCGGGATCCAAATGCGGGAGTAAGTCGTAGTACTTAGCCGCCATCGTCGTGTTTGTTGGTAGTCGAAGGGATCCTTGTTATATTCACTCCCAACCGAGAGTTGGGATATCGGGGGTGAAAGGGTTGTTGAGGATTGGGGTTTCACGAGATGGAGCAAGGATTTCACGGATCCCCAAGTGGTATCAAGGGAGGTACCGGGGTGGTAGATCTACCACCTCGGTACATTTTTTGTTCTGAAAATGTAGCTTACCTCCCCGTATACCACCCGCGGTGGCGGGGTGTTTTGGGAATTGGGGTGGTAAACGGGGCTTACAACCCGGATTTACCACCCGCGTTGGAGATGCTCTAAACAATTAATTTTTGAAGAAAAAAAAATGTGCTCAAAGGCAGAAACCGCATGCGCTGCACTGCCACAAAGCCGTGTCTAAACAGGGAAAAAAATACCATGTTTTTCTATTAGAGCCAACCCCCCCCCCCCCCCCAAAAAAAAGGAAGTTGGAAAGGGAATTGAGAGATGGAAAGTACACTGAAACAGGGAGAATGATGAAGTATTCTTATTATTTAAGAAAAAGAGAGTCAAATAAATACAACCAGATAAGTTAGATAAGAAAGTACTTTACACACTCTTTTTGGTTCTGTTTTTTTTTGACCATCATCAACATCAAGATCACTGATCAACCAAAAAAAGAAAAAGACAAAAAAATCACTCTGGAAACCTACACCTCAAATCAATCCCCAAAAAAAGAACAAAAGAAAAAAAAAAAAACCACTAACACTTTTCACATATAACGATTGTCATTATTTCATTTATTTCTAGTTATATATAAGTGAAAATTCATAAATATAAAGATAAATTTGATAGAAGTACATGAAAGATAACTATCACACCCAACCAAACAACAAAAAAAGAAAAGAAAGCGAAATCTTTACACCACTGTAATATCCAACAAACGAAGAAAGAAAGAAAGAAAGAAAGAAAGAAAGAAAGAAAGAAAGAAAGAAAGAAAGAAAGAAAGAAAGAAAGAAAGAAAGATAGTCCATGAAAGCAACGACAAATAAACAAAAAGGACCAATAAGGACGAGAGACGAGGGATAGTTTGGATGAGCGATTCAAGACCCGGGCTCTTTGGCAGCATCCTCTTTTTCTTCTTGTTCTTGTTCTTGATCTTCATCATCTTCATCAAACGAGGCCAACGGATTATTGGCTCGTCCGTCTCGCGGCCCTCTTGCAGAAGAAGACGGGTTAATGGAATTGGGATCCAACGAGATCGAGGCCTGGAGCCTAGCGGCGGTAGCATCGATAGCCTCTGAATCCGGGATCTGAAACTACCCACCCACCCAAAAAAACCGATATCTCAACACCGTTCCTCTTCGGGTAAAAAAAAAGGAGAGAAAGGACATACGCCTTCAGCCGCCATATCCTTGAAGATAGCAGACTCAGCCCCCGACTTCATCAACGCCAACATCTTCGCAGCCGCCCCGCCGACATCCGCCGTCCCCGTCAACGTCACCCGTTCCCGCTCGCCTCGCCCGCGTCGGACCGGCGCTCGACTCGACGTCCCCGTCCGGATCTTCGCCAGAATGTCTTCTAATACCGGATCCGCATCCGTCGCTTCTTTGGCCGCTTTTCGAGTCTGCTCAATCTGCTCATTTTTTGTTTAATCCCATATTTGTTAGTTCTTCTATGATCATCATCGAATAAAAAATAAGTAGGGGAAGGAGGATGTTTACCTCTAATCGTTTCTGACGCGCGTTCCTAGCCTCATTCCATTTACGATTCTCATCTCTAGCCTTTTTATAGGAAGTGACGAAAGTTTTAAAGATGCCGAAGAAAGCCATCGAGTTCATCTGTTTCCGTTCGTCGGTTTCCTCTCCGAAATACATGAGGATCTGGGTGTAGGAGTTCTGAGCCAGGGTGATTTCGTCCTTGAGGATCGCCAGCTTGTTGCCAGCCTCTCGGACAAACTTGGGCATCCTTTGCTTGTATCCATCCGTACCCACATTCTCTAGATCAAACTTGTTGTATAACGCTAGTCGAGTCTTCTCTACTTCTTGTCTCAACTCTTTAAAGTTCTTGACAATCGCTTGTAGATCAACTGCGGGGTTTTTTTTTGGATGTCGGGTTAAGTTCTATTCCTCGGTCTCTGAATTAGACAACTCGAAAGAAAAAAAAATACTTACTTCGATAAGCGTTTGCAGGTTCAGCCAACTCTTCCAGAAACGCAGCCACCTCAGGGAACGATTGCGAGACGGTTTTTTCGACGAAATGGAGCAACGTGAAGTCGCCCAATTGAGCAGCCACGCCTCCTCCCTCCTCACTTGGCGTGGCTTTCGTATCCACCAACTTTACAACACCAAAAAAATGATTAGTCAATTTCAGATAGGGGGGAAAGAAAAACGTAGCGCATATACAAGGGAGAGACTTACTCGATTGATGCTGCTCACGCGGAACCCAAACGCGCCTCCTTGGAAATTATTCCCATTCAAGAAGTTACCCAACAACAAGATCAACTACAAAAAAAAAACGCAATCAGCAAGAATCCCATCCATCATTCTTCCCGAGAAAAAACAAAACGAACATTAAGTAATCCAGAAAAGTGATGAGCGTTTTGCAAAGCGGTAGTTGCGAGATTAAACTGAGAAGTATTAGCGTCAAGGATGGAGAAAGCCTCGTCGAACAGGGCGCGACACAGCATGCCTTCGACCCTCAATTGGAGGTTATCGAACTTGATCAGCTCGACCAGGAACCGATCGGCAGCATGTAAGAGTGCCAGATCTTCCTCTGAATCGGTCTTGTGTCGATTCAATAATCCTACCTGTTATATAACATATTAAAATCATCAGAAAAAAAAATCATTTATTTCTTCTTTCTTTGGCGAAAGACAGGAGGAAAAAGAAGGAGAAAGGGAAGGAGGGAGAGGAGGGAGGAGAAGGGACTTACTTGAGTAGGATCCGGAATCACTCCATTCAACTCAGTCAAGAAAGTTTGGGTACAAAACTCCTCATCGAACCTGCGAATCTTATCGATAACGGCGGCGACTCTGACGCCCATATCCGGATCCGCACCCGGCTTCAATAAAATCATCTCTACATTATCCACATCCGATCATCCTTTCAATCAATCGATCTTTTTTTTTTGCTCTTCAATCGATCTCTTTGGAGTGGATGGGAGGGACTTTTACGTACCGATTCTTTGTCGAACTCGTGGCTCCAACACGCTCTTCAACGCTTCCTTTTTCTTAGCCCCTACCACCACCCAACCCAACCCAACAAGAACAACGAAAAAAAACCCTCAAATAAGTAAAGCTGAGCAGATTTAAAACATCAAAAAAGGAGAGTCGACGAACCGCCGATAGCCTTAGCGACTTTAGCCTTAAAGTCCTTCTCGATTTCCATAAAGACGCCGTCATCTTTAAGCAACATGAGGAGTTTAGATTCGTCGATAAAGTTCGAAGCCCAGACGGTTTTCTCGATCGAGTCTTTCCCAATCTTTTCCCATTGAAGTTGTTTAAGTTTAGCGGAAGCATAGATCCCCAATTCTTTACGATTCTTACTATTCATCAGTAATCCGTTATTAGGTGCCATTGGAATTCCAGGTCCTTTCATTAGCATTGATGGTGGTGGTGGTGGTCCTGGTGGTGGTTTAGGTGCCCCTGGTGGTTTGGGCGCTCCAGGAATCATCGGTGGTGGTGGAGCTGGTGGAGCTGGTGGAGGTGGTGGAGGTGGAGGAGCCTTGGGCGCGGTGGGTGAAGTGACTTTGACCAGGTCGCTGCCGATCAAGCCCCGTAAAGTATCGGTGTCAGAAAGATGCGATTTCAATGGCGGAGGTGGTGGAGGAGGTGGGGGTGGAGGAGGGGGAGGAGGGGGTGGTGGTGGTGGTGGTGGTGGGGGCGGTGGGGGTGGAGCAGGGGCGGCTGGAGGCTGGACTGTAATGAGCACCGGACCAGACCCACCACCACCGGCCGACTGGTTCCCGGCTTGGTTTTTATCCTCATTCGATGGAGGGGGGGTAGGATTGGAGGCCCTTCGAGAAGATTTCTGGAGTCTGAGGATCTCGAGGTCGGGGGGGAGGTTAGAGATAGAATTACTGGAAGGGCTGAGGAGAAGCTTGTTGCGATGGTCTGAGTCGTCCATAGACTGGCCGGGAGATTGCTGTTGATCCCCAGGCTCGTCGGTGGAGACGTACTTCATCGTCGACCCGGAGGCCGAGCGGAGCTGGTGCATCTTCAACTCACCCAGATACAACGCCGGCTTGCGACCGATCTGCGACGGGATCATCGGTCGAGGCGGCTTGATCGTCGACTGCGAATCTGTGTACCCCGGATAGTGCCGCAGGATCTCAGTGACTCCCGGCGAAGCCGGCGAGCCCATCTGGCTCTCACTCTCTCTCTCTTCCGACTTGGCTCGGGCGCCCAGGTTTTGACTTCGCTTCGGCACGATCCGCCGCGTACTATGCCGGGGTGAACTGGCTTCGGAGATTGGTGAGAGACCAGTGTCCTTACTCGTCGCCTCAAATTGGGGTTCGTCCTCTGAATCTGGATCCTCAAAACGGGACAAAGATTCTTTGGTCTTGTGCGTCGGCTTGTGAGCGACCGTAAAGTTCTCCCGCATCGGAGATCCCAATCCTCTATCATTCGGCCGATCATTGCCATCTCCTTCTTCTATCGAGTTCTTCCTCCTCCTCCTCATCCCTTTCTTTCCATCGTTACGGCTCGATCCACCATTCTCACCAACCTGACTCCTTCCTTCGAGAGTCAAGATGGCTTTCTCTCTCTGAAGTTTCTTGTTCATGATATCCATCAACTCTCGACGATCGAGGATTCCTGTATCATCTTGAACAACATCTAGATTCTTGGACTCTTTCAGCATCGTAAACAGTTCTCTGATCTGTAAATCCTGTTGGGTTAATTGTGAGCGATGTTGTTTCTCCATCTCGCCAATCCTCGACTGTAAGGCTTCGGTTGCCGTCCGAGAGATATTTAGGGCGCGCTCGATCTGTTCGTTGGTCTGCTTGAGTTCTTTCACTTTACTATCCTGATTGGCCATCAGTTCTTCCTCTAAAGTGTTCTTGTCCCGCTTCAATCTCTCGGCCTGTCGTTTGGCCTCCTGGAGTTCAGACATCGTATTCTGTAGTTGATCTTGATCGGCAAACTTTGACATGACAGCCGCAACACTAACTCCTAGCATCGAACTGAAATCGCCCCCACCACCATCGTCCAAGGCTTTACTATCCAAGACGACCGAAGTGACTAGTTGGTCGATCAATTGATAAAACCTCACCTGGCCTTCGCCGTCTTCCTTGATCAGTAAGAGATGCTGGAGCATGGAGATGAAGAATTCTTTGGCACGAGAGCCCTCCAAGGTATCTATGATGGTATCAAAGAGCTGCTGAGGATTGGTCATGTCATTCAAGAGCCGGTGGTTGAAGTTTTCCAGCATCTCTTCCTCATCTTGAATGGCTTCGACCTCGATCTGGTTCAACTGACGTTCGATCGAGTTATGCTGAAACTTTCTCAACTTGTCGGTGATCCGTTTGAGGCCGGAGCTGTTCATCTGACTTCTGAGATGGACTCGTACGGTGACATCCTCGGGGATGCTGATGATAGAGGTGATCAAGAACAGGTTCGCCAGTGCGTATTCGTTCAAGGCCCCATCGAGTCCCATCGGACTGCTGGCGGAGGGTAGGTTGGAGACCATACTTCCGACACTATCCGCATATTGATTGAGGACAGATGTGGTAGCACTATGTCCTCTGAGACTCCTGAGTTCCTCACTGGCGCCAACCAGACTGCCCATCTTTCCTCGACCGTCGATGACCTGCTCGAAGGAACCAAACCAGGCATCGAATCTGGCCATCGTCTCCCCAATCGTCTTCCCACCGGTCGTCCTCATGTTTGCCAGTTGATCTAAGCCTTTCAAAACGTGTGAATGACCCCGAGGTTTCTCCCAGTGACATAAGAAGGTCAGGATGTCTGCAACGGTCTTGCGTGTGGGTAGGTGAGGTGAGACTAGTGAGAATAGGATTTGGTATATTGATTCGGGATGAGAGATGGCATCGTTGGCGCCTTGCTTTGAATTCAATAAGATCTTGAGACATTTCAGGGTTTCATACTCGGTGATCAGATCTGCTTCCTTTCGAATGATCCCGGGTGCATTGATCTTGTCTAATGAGTTTGTGAGAACGATTTGCCCCTTGAGATGGATGAATTCTTGTAGCCAACTGGATCAATTTGAGAAAGAAAAAGCAAACAAGGTGAGAATTGTTAGAATATGTGTATTCTTGTGGGTGGTATAGAGTGATTTTTTTGGGGGACTTGCGTGATTTCATAGGTCCTCAGTGCGACGGCCAGAGCAGCGACGACTCGATGATCAGCGGATCGGTCCATGAATTTCTTGATGTACCATTCAGGTTCTTCCCGTTTTCCGCGGCCAGAGGAGGGACCAGATTGACGCCACATGCCATGCCCGGGGGTCTTGGTGAGTCTGGAGTTAGTGTGGCTGTTGGATGAGCCAGAGGGTTGACCGAGTGAGGGGGAGGGTTCGATGGTTCGTTTGGTTGGGGTTGAGTCGGAGTTGAGTCGTTTCTGTCGAGCGGTGGCCCATTCTGTTGGTGAATGACCATCCCGGTTGGTTGGTGAATAGTGAGGGTCGTGATGAGTGGCGAAGATGTCGAGGAAGGATTCGATCATGAATTTTGAGCGTGGGGTGGGTGTCATGGTTCAGAGAGGGAGGATGAGTTTGGTGGACAGGAGTATGGGTCAAGGATTCTGAGGAGGAAGGGCTAGAGAGAAGGGGGGGAGATTGATTACCCACCGGTGTATCGGTCATTATAGATCAATGTCCACTTCTTGTCGATCGAGAAGTTGAGCATACCCTGTTGTGCGCTGGCTGGTAGGGCTGGGTTCGAGTTACGGAAATTTGTAGACATGACAACAACAAGAAAGGGATATAATCAGTATATATATATAAGTTGTTTTGTCAGCAGTTAGTGATTCAGTTTTAGTTTACATGCCAGTTCTCTCCTGTTCATCATATCATCAAACATCTCATTGACGATCTGTTCGGCCCATTCATCCCTCGGCCTGAGTAGTTCGAATTTCTCCTGGTTGGGGTCAGCCCTCGGCCAGAGATGCTGGTAGGGTGCCCTTCTGAGTGAGGTTGAGCGGGTGTTGGTGTTGGTGGTGGTGGTGGTGCTACTGCTGGCGGGGGGGATCGGCGGTGGTGGCATGAGGTCATAGGATGATGGGCGTGAGTGGGGCTCGGAGCTGATGGCGATGGATGGTCCGCCAGTGAGGCTGTTGATGGAGTTGTGCCGTTTGCTCGATCGGCTGTTGACCGAGTTCTGCTTAGATAAGTCAAACCCAATTTCAGATCATTAAATTATTATTATTATTTTTTTTCAGTTTGGCTTATGTGTTTGTATTGAGATGGCTGACTCTGTTTGATGAGGAGGATGGTGGGTGTTGGTGGTGGGAGTCGGTTGAGCTGGTGATGCTGGTCGATCTTGAGCTCTTGTTCTTCCTCTGGTGGTAGATCAGTTCCTCCTGAGTGATATAGGATGATGATGATGAGACTGCAGCTGCCTTGGTTGGGGTGCCTTCGAGGTTGTTTGCAGTTTGTAGTAGTGGGCTGGGTGAGTTGGGTCGACTGCTGCTGCTGCTGTTGTTGTTGTTGTTGTTGTTGAGGCTGGCTGAGTGTCGATGTTTCTTGGCATGTCGACTGAACATGATAGTGCTCTGATGACCATCAGGAGAGTCCACTGAGCAGAACAGTCAGAGACAACTGCAACCGAATTTGATCAAGGGTTGGTACATAATTGATTATGTAATCAACAAATATCCAAAATGACCATCTGGATCGGGATAAGACCCTCTTATCGGGTCCACCACCAGTAATTTAAAGGGTACAATTAATCTGCAACACTGAAAATATGTAGCATGGGATCAATCTCTCAGAGGAAACCCAATAACATCACCAGCTGCCTACAAAAAACCACCCATCATCTGATGGGCAGAGTGCTATATCAACTGATCAAAACCAATACAAACAAATTGAAAAAAAAAAAAAAAAACATCAAAAGCTCCCTCCACATACAATTGTACATAGAACAAAGACCACAACAGTGGCTACACACATAGCCTACCCGGAGCCAGCACATAACACTCATTGAAGCTCAATCCAATCCCCTCCTCTCTTATAAGATCTTGGACCCGTCCCTTGAGAACTCCAGGGCTAACAACCAGAGAGACCTTGTTAAGCTGAATGCTGTATTAATGCAGACTTCAACCATATTGAGAATTCAATTCCACATGACAAATTATCTGATGACCCAAGATTATCTACCTGCTTGCCTGAGCACTCATAGAAATATCTGCTAATGATCCATTTCCCTAGAAATATCTGCTAATGTTACATTTCATCAGCTTCCTTCTTTCTTCTGGGGGGTTAATGTAACAGTCAACACCATCATGGACATTCTCCAACACATCCATCATTGTTGTTTTTTCTTCTACTTGAGAATTCATTTCTTTTGATTTGAATCACTGATCATGTGTAGAACTTGTCAAATCACAATCTTCTTGAGTTTTAATATTATATACCCAACTTTTCTTTATATTTTGGGAAAAAAATAAGGATAACCCTTCCTTGAGCCATAGTTTAGATACTATAAGTAGTTGACTATAAATTACCTGGAAAAATAGATTGGCTTAGTGAAAAAAACAAGGGATCAATAACCAGGGGGTAACTGGGGAAAAAATTAGTCAGATGATCAATTCATACATACGCAGCAGTATCTTGAATATCAACTGTCAGCAGGTTTCCTGCATTTTTTTTTGTGGTGAACATAGAAGCATAGGAATATCCTTTTACTTTCTTTCTCTACCAGCAGTGTGAGGACCTTCAGAGCATAGGAAATGTTTAAAGACTTGCTCAATCACGTTAACTTACACCCCAGATCCTGGAGGTGTGCATGATACCTTCTCAATGAATGTGTTTGGTTCATCCTCACTCCTCAGTACTATCCAGATGTTGAAACTGTGAGCTGGATTGTTGAGTCTACATTATTTAGCTAACTTTTAAGTTTACCTTTGGACCCAAGTTATACAGCGTATTTTGTTGGAATTTCACTACACTCCCGCTCAAATTTGACTACACTCTGCTCTCTCTTCCACTTTCTCTCTCCTGCTATTTCCTGCTCTGTCTATCTCTCTCTTCTGTTCCGCTTTTATCCTCAAAAGTTCTTCTTCTTTCCTCCAATACACTCTCAATACCTCCACCCACACCTCTTCTCCCAATTCATCCTTCTTCTCTCCTCCAACACAACCAATTAAAAGCCTCACAACCAACTCAAAACCTATCTTCTTTAGTCCCTTAACCTAATCAAATCTATTCAATTGCAACCACAAGTTGAACTCCATCAACCAAATATAAATAAAGGCACAATTTGTCTCTCTTTTCCCCTTCTTCTCCTTAGCAGTTGTTGAAATTTATGACTCAAGCGCGTAAGAGGATGGGGGCCAAAAAAGGGAAGAACTCTTTTTTGGGAAAGGCTTGTGGAAAATGAGTTTAAGAACCAATGAGTTTTTATTCACTAGTAACTAGCCTGGGTTTAAGTAGAATAAATACAAGAGGACAAACTGTGGCTGAGAGAAATGAATAGCAAAACTATTTTGAATAAAAGACTGAGAGGAAGAAACATGAGTCTTTGGAAGAAACAAACTGTACAAAACTTCTCAGTCTCTTTTAGTCAAGCTGGATGAGTTAATCAAGAAAAACATGCTATAAACCACAGATATTTAGAGCCGTTAATTCTAAGTAATCAGACTTTATTAGATCAAACAGAAAGATCAGGAAAGGGAAGAAAACATCATAGAGACATGAGTTGTTGAGAAGAGAATTACTTAGGGCTCATATTTGACTCAAAAGGGGCTTAAACACAACAAAAAAAAGCTACTTGATGAGTATAATCTAGTCTGATTTTATGATGACTTGAAAAGAAAAAGGAGTGATTTTGGGGAGGAGTAGGCAAGAGAGGTGAAAACTCAACAGCAGTCTCCGACACCGTAAAACTTCAATCACCTCCTCAAACCATGATCTCCTGCCTAAAATGCTTGCCTACCATGACTAACTCAATCTCATTGTCCTTAAGCTCACTCAACAATTCCGTTCTTCATCTCTCTCCAACTTCAATTCTTCTCTTCCCTTTTTCTCTATTTTGTTTCTCTCATATCACTCCTTGTTCACTTCCACCAACGACAATTACACATCTTCCCAAAATCAACTCAAGCTCCTCTCATCCTACTTCCGCTGACTCTCTCTCTCTCTCTCTCAAAATACTCATCTGGCTTTTGCCAATTTGGTGAGAAAAAGTACAATCAACCTTCCTCAAAAAGTTTGATTCATTTGTTAACCTTTTCTTTATTTTGTTTCATATCAAAATAGTGTCTACTATATTTCATATAATTTAGCATCTCTGTTCTGTCTAATTCAAAAGACAAATCTACTTGTTTTAAATATCTCTTCTTCTGTACAAATGCCTATCTGTTGTCTATATCTTTGTTTTCCACTGAAAAATCTTCTAACATTTGTTTTCTATCTGTTAATTTCTGGTTCTATTTTCAGTAATTGTTCCTGTTTTTCATCATATTTTGAATGTGCAAGGTATGAAAAAGGAGATTATGAACCCCCCACCCCTCTAGTACCAAAATTGGAATGCTTCCTTTGGTTTTCAGTGGGAAAACTATTGCTGGACGCTAAGAACAAGAACAAGGAGAAAAAAAAACTACTTTTACTTTTGGAATTGGGAGGGGGATGGATGAATCTTTGACAAATCTCAATTTTCAATCAATTATTTTCTTCTCTTTTTGGGGCTTTTTTTGTCTATTCCTTGTTTCTCATTTTTAGTTTTGAAAAAAAATTACTAATCACCAATCAGAGCAAGAAAAAAAAGAAGAGATAAAGACAGCCTAAAAAGAGGGAAGAAAAAATTGATTCAACAGTGATATTATTCATGAAAATTCATAGACTCTAAAGTATTCCCCTGATTCATTTTTGATCAGTATGTTTATAGTATTTTGGCTTTTTGTGCAGAAATTCTTGTGTTTTGGTAACCCACTTCTTGGTGGAGAAGCCTTGGTTTTGAAACCAGTTCAGAAACAAAGAAGCATCTTTGACTCAGAAGGCCACTTGAATTTACCTTGAGTCAGCATGTGTGTTGAGCTTGAGGATGTCTTTACCTGATCTATAGAACCAGTGATTGAATTGAAACTTCGATCAACAAAAGAGAGAGAACTATCATGATTCTAGTACAGATTATAAGAAAAAAAAAGAAATAATAATGTCTACATTCTAGCACTAAATTAAACTTCTATCCTAAGCTGCACACAAGAATCTTGAAACAAAAATCAAACGTTATGATCTAATGAGCTTCTTGAGGAATGAAGACCTTTTTCACCAGTTTCAAGGATAGGGATTTCTGATGGATAATCAGAGGATTCATTAAGGGCTTGAGAAGGATGGAACAAGTTGAATAGAAGCATGCATAAGAACATTAAAACTGAATCCAAGAGGATGGTGAAGATTTCCTTTTTCATTAATGGACCATGACTGCCGATAATGTATTCAGCCAATCGAAAGCTCGATCGGATTATAATCAGAGCACTAGAGCCAACTAGGAGGATCAGATGTCGCTTCCATGTCGTGTTCAACGTCTCGGAACTGATCGTCGGTGCCCGTTTCATTCGAATATAAAATATGCTCGCATGGATGATGAACAAGCAAAATGTGACCAACTGGATTATCAGTCCAGAGATGATCAACCTTCGACCCCATTCTTCTTCTTCTGATGTCTTTGCACCAGCGTCCAAACCTCCGCCTTGAGAAATAAGAAAAAAAAAACGCATCAATGTTCTGAATGTTGGGAAGATGGAATTGATGGAAAGGTGAAAATGAATAAGTACCAGCCGCTTGTAAGAAGAATGAGATGAGATCTCCGGCCACGAAGATCTTGGTGAGCCACTTGACGGGTAGCACAGAGTGTTTTTGGCCGTTGGTTAATCGGATGATTCGAGTGAGCGTCATGTATATCGATCCGGCAAATAATGTTGGAGCCAATAATAGAAGGAGAGTCTCGGTGATATGAAGACCAAGTTGCCAGCTGTAGGTAAGATTGATTAAGAGAGCCCTTGCCACGAAACCGATGCATTCAACTAAAAATTGATTGTAAGATATCAGACCGAGTCAAAATCGTTTCCCTTTCGCTATAAATTTAATTGATCTCTATATTCACTTACAATAACCTCCAAGCACAAACGGTAAGAAAAACCAAGACCGACTTTGAATCATTTGGACCGTGTGTAACATCATCGTGCAAAAAAAAGCTACCGCGAAGAAAATCTCTAGGAGTAACGAGGGCTGGTAGGCAAATAAACGATAGTGTTGGTTGTCCATTTCTGGCTCTTGTTCTGACATCTCGCCTTTTTTCTCTTGTTTTGGTATTTGAAGCTTGGTCAATCTCGTGAAACGGATTCAGTGGATATGCCGTATAATAAAATATCAATGATAATGATGAGAATACTACTTTGAAAGAAAGAAAGAAAAAAAAAAAAACGAAGATCGAAGTGTACGCCCGGTAAAATTTGGTGAATCGGTTAATAATGTTGTCGTGATGAGTCTATGAGGGAAAAGACAAATGCAAAGATGGCAAGAGGATCATGCGAAAAAGCACAGTCAATATGGCTTGCGAGTGGGGGCAACCATCAGGATGGACTCTGAGGAGCCACCCATTTGGGACGAGTACTCATCGTAGTGTGTGTGTGCAGAGGGCAAATGACTCAGCGCTTGGATAACAGGTATATGTCGACTCAGCAGAGTGTTTGCTCATCCCCTAACTTTGTTGGAGAAACGAAAACAGGTTGCCAGATTGCAGTCCCGAAAATGGGCTACTAGATTTGAATCTGAGCTGATTGTTGGAGAAACGAAAACAGGTTGCCAGATTGCAGTCCCATTCTTAGCTTCAAACGTGTCGCGGTGACCGTGAAGATGCCTAGAGTAGAACATTCTTCTGTTTACATTCGATTTCACTGACAATCCTTCGTCGCCCTTTTCTCACAGTGTCCATGCGGTGGATAGAAAACAAGACAATCTTCAAACTGAATGGCAAAGAGTGTCTCCGAGCACTTTCTCTCTATCCCGGGTCCTAAACCGGAGTGTTGCTATTCCGCATTCTCTGACAACCTGGCCCCAACAAATCCCCCCCATAACCCAGGATTGGGTTTAAGATGCTAGTAGCAAGTTATTTCAACAGTATTTTTTAGACTTATCCTGATGGGGACCAGTTGTGTGGTCTGAAATCACAAGTTATGTGTCAGCAGTTAAGGCAGGATCAAGAGGTTTGAGCTAATCTTCAAATTGAGATGAAGAATTAGCTAATCATAATACTTATTCCTGATGAGGAAAAGAGAAGGCAAAATAGAAAGATCTGGTGAGCCTTATGAGTTAGAAAACATGTGACAAACAACAAACAGGAACAAATTGTGAGTCTAAAGCATACTTCACAAAAAGTAGAGTTCTTACACTTTCATCCCTTTCTCTCAATCTTATCTTTGTGTCTGACTCCTGCAATTGTCCACAAAGTTGATTTCTCATTTATTCCTTCATTCGTGCTCATTCATATTTTCACAGTGGCTTGTTTCTGACTTTATTTCTTCACAATAATATGGCTCTTGTGAAGTAAACATTTTTTTTTAGCTTGGACTGGAAACACAATGATTTTTTTCAAGATGATTTATCACACAGCTTTCAAATTTTGTCCATAATGGTTGTAGGTTTTTGGTGTTTGAATTTTAAATGTGGTTTAGCACAGTCCCTGTCTCTGGTTGGCACAATGTAACACCTGGTTTACCACTTCATAGGGAGGAGAGGTACTTCTTGCAGTTTGAGTCCTCTCCCTGTAACGCCTTGCTGGCATAGTGGTATTATTGTCCCACTCCAAAAGCCCACTGCGTCTCAAGAACTGTGTTTCATCCACCCATCCCACAAGTAGCAAGCTCAATTCCCAATTTAGCAATCTATTGGTGTCCAAGGGTGCAGCTTATAGCCATGCAAAGCCTTCCCATTGTCTGTATGGGGCTTTTCAGTCTTGTGGCTGCTCAGCCTCCACTCCCCAAGTATTGTTGGCAGTGTGAAGTGATAGCCACCCCAAAGAGCCGAAACAAACTCTCTCACTTAGAATTAGATGCCGGAACTGCAATAAAGTGTTGGATTCAGGGATGCAATGAAGACATCACAGCTGACAGGTACTATTGCTCAACATGCCACCATTATGCATGGTACGCTGCAACAGACTGCCCCAATCACAAGCTACTTGATCCACTCTACTACAAGGCGTGATGTCCAGATAACCTAGGTGATAAAAAAGGGGAAACCTGAATGTTAACCAAACATGACCCCCGCAGGAATATTTTTCTATCATTGATTCCTATCACAGGTTCAGTAAATTCCCTTATGAATACACTTGAACTTTTGCCTGGCCTTGTTGTTCATTTGGGCCATGCATTTGGAACACCCAATAGGTGTTTTCAAATAGGAATTAAGCCAAACTAACATCCAAAAAATCATGCATGTCTTTGATCAGCCCATTTATCAAAGCAGAAAAACCAACCCATATTTATGTAGATTATCCGGGCCACAGGACTGAAGACTGAAATTCATAGATAAGTCTTGTGACATGCAGAATTGAGACTCAGAAAGAAAAAAGATGGTTTATATTTTGTGAGGGAAGAGCTAAAGGATCTGAGCCGTGAAAGACTCAATACAAGCCCAAATTACTAGACACATACAGAACTAGATATAAGCATTTTAACAGATCAATAATATCAAGTATATCAACACTGTAATTCTCTCATGTTTGAAAGCTCCCTTTTTTAGTTTTTTTTTCTATTTTAAACAGGGAATCAATGATATGATGATGAAAAAGAAATCTTCTCGTTTCTAGTAAAAAGTGAGAAAAAGACAAACAAACACTCAGTCAAAAAATCAATTTTTTGCACATGAAGTATACCCATGCAAAGCCATTAGCCCCATTCAAATAGGTGCATCTTTATTTGGGTGTTGATAAACGCATGTCTCCACCCACAGTGCACACCCATGCACAAGCACACACTCCTGAAAAATCTTGTTCAGTCATCCACACCCTTTTTTGGATGTGTTTGACTGCAAACCCTATTCTTGGTGGGCCCCTTCCTGGAAATTGGTGTGCTGGTTAGCTTTGAGAACTCCTTTGGGAAGGGTGGAAGTCCTTCAAGGAGGAAATAGAAGATATAATATTCCAAGTTTGTATGAATTTATCACAACTGTCATGGGCGGTGTGGAAAGTAAGGCGCGCCCTAGGAGATTTCTTGTACTTCTTCGCTCCGCAACACGTCTTACTCCGATTTGTTGTCCGGGGTAACTTGCTTGATGCTCTTGTAGGTAGGTAAAAATAGTTCTCTTTTGTTGTTCTTAGGTAAGTAATACTCTAACTCTAATCTATCTCTAACAATTCTTTAGGCTAATACACGATTCACTCCTAAGTCACTCTGTTTTTTCTGATATATTCTCAGTCATCCGTCCCCCCTCTCTCCCCCCTCTTCTGCCTCGAACTCCACTCCTCCTAAGTATCCCACACTCCAGTCCCTTTCTGCTTCCCGCGATGTCATCCGCTGTCACCCCCTTCGGACTCCGCATGTCACCCCTCCGGCGCCTGTCGGTCCAGGTACTCCTCCGGCCACTCCTAAGCAGGTCTCCCACCGCCGCTTCCGCCTCTGGTCCGCTCCGAACCCCGCTTCCGCCCCTCGGTGCTCCCCGCTCCTTGTAGCCCCTCCGCAGTATACGCTGAACCCCCGTTCCGCAGTCGGCCGTGATCCCCGGTGTCCGCCGGTGCCCGGATTCCCCCGCAGTAAGCTTTTCAGAGCCTTGTGCATTCGGTCTACTTTTCCCCGCTTTCCCGCGCCTCGGAAAGCTAGACTTTCCGCTAATGCACCGCCGCTTTCCTCAGCCTGCTTGTGTAGCGTCAGCTCCGCGTGCTTTCCGCATCAGCGCCGCGAGCATTCCGCATGCCCCCAAACAAACCGGCCAAAGCTTTGGCCCAGGCGCGCTCTCACCACCACACCGGTCAGGTCTGAAAGACCTGTCTCTCTATTGTACTGCACAAAATTTTATTGACACAACAAATTCATATAATTGTTGTGGCCAAAACTGATGATAGAGAAAATTCTTGACCCTAAAATTAAACACAAATATATATATATATTTTTTGTCTCTTAAGTTGAACCTTTGAATTGACACCTGATCATATTCCCAGATATCTGGAATTTATTTATTTATTTTTGCACAAGAGGTTAACATAATTAAATGTAAAAAAATATTCCAAAAAAGAATGATCATTTGTTGTGGTATTTGTGACCAAGAATCCAAAAATTACCAAATCATACATGAAAGGAGTCAACTGTCAGAGGAATTCTCATCTTGAATTGATCGATTAATCAGTAGACACATGTGAAAAGAAATTATATAAATCAGAAAAAATGAAATGAAATGAGACAACAATGAGGATATATTCATGAATGTGAGCATTCAAACAAGAGGATTGCAGTGAAGAAAATGATTCAGAATACAAGGAAATCACTCACTGCTGTTTTGATGGGCATGGAATAGACATTGGGTGTGGGAATATGAATACACTATGTATTAGGAATGTTTCTGCATTTGTATGTTAAGGTTTTCAATTGAGTGAACAAAGATCTTGTTAAAGAATCTCTTTGTAGCATCCCAGAGTCTATTCTTGATGATCAGATCAAGGAAATCGATTCTATAAGCTTCCATCCAAAGCCTCAAGAAATTCCATAAGCTTGGAAAAAGATTGGTATGGGAGATGGACCTGATCACATTCTTCTTGATTTTCAAGGTTTTCTGGTAGAATTCAGTGTCGATTATTCTGTGGCTTGATGCTCTTGATCCATAAATGGTTTGCGCAAATTCGAATGCTTTGGTCAGTTCTGAGCCTACCTCTGTTGAGCCTGGGACAATCGTGCTAATCATCTCCACATAAAATAGATACATCACTATCAGGTTTCTCATCTTGACATTCAGATTTTCCGGGAAGTTTTCCAGGTTGAGATTTGCTCTCTTGAGCCAATGTCTGTACCAATGCTGGCGATTTTCCATCAACTTGTCGAGCAATTCAAGTTTCTGTTTGCGTCTTTCGTCATCATTCATCAAGATCCCTTCGGAGTTTGTATCCTGATTATGATAAAGAAACATACAATAACGTATGAACTGTTTCTCTGTCATAACAATCTCCTGCAGTTTGAGATCAACCGATAAGATCTTCAAGATCTCGGATATGTTTTGATTGATTTTGCCGGAAATAGGGGAGGGACGGAATACCTTCTCATCAAACTTCAAAACTTCTGATTGATATTCTTTCTTGATTGCTTTTCTAATAGAGTCATTAGTCGAAGTCGGATCTGCCTCTGAACTACCTTTTGTGGGCTCTATCTTGCAAGCAGCTGGTGTGATTATGTGTTGACTTGAACCACTTATTTTCTTATGCTTTCGAGAAAGGAATGAATGAAGTGGCTTAACTTCTCCTATGTCACTTTCACTTTTAACAGGAGAGCTTGACTCTCCGGATTGCTTTGAATGTTTTGTTATTCCTTCAAGGTCCGAAGTGGGGTCCGCTGGAGTTACTATTGAAAACCCGAGCAGTTTGATCACTTTATGAGGTCTTCTTTCAAGGCCCATCGGTTCAGCCAGAGTAGAAGATTGTGAATGGCTGTAAATCTTTAGACGATCAGGGCTTTCGCGTTTGATTCCCTTGTCAGAGGCACTGCTTGATGATGGATCCATCTCCTCCGCGACGAACTTCCTTTCTTCCTCCGAATGGCTGACCTGCTGTTTTGATGTGAGCAGGACCGGTTGGGAAGACTTGACAAAACTTGACATTCCTCCTTCATCGCGCGCCGCATTAGAAGAAAATGCAGGCAAAAAATTCGTGTTGGAGATGCATTCGACGTGATCCATGGGGGTACTGCCACTTGCAAAATGATCAATAGGATCAGAGCCGCAAGGATTTCTACCCTTCGACATAAGGGTTTCTGCCGTCCCGTCAGGACTAGCTCGGAACAAGTAGTTGTCCATGGCGCTGCAGCCAAAAACAAAGAAACAACCAACAACCAGGCAATGCATTGGAAGTGGTGATATAGTTCCAAAGGAGGTATAACCTGGGCTGTCGATATTGAGTGACAGTAGATGGTGAAGATGGGTTTGTCTTGATTTGCTTCAAGAAGGTTGGACGCTAATTCTCTTGGTCTTACGCCGCCAGTTGTGTTTTGATGAGTCTGTGTTTTTGAGACATCCAATTTGAACGATCAGCGTCAGAACACGCAGCACATCAAAGTTCAAAGCCCTTCAGCCTCCTAAATCAATTAACACTAACGAGAGTCCCTGTCCAACGCGGGGAGGACAGCCCGCAGGGCGCAGGGACCGTCCCTTTGGTTGGTGTGATCCAACCAGCAACTCCCCACTCCAGGCGTAGAAGAGACTAGAGGTACTTTTGTTTAGTGGGCGGACGCGACGGTCCAATTTCTGTAATCAATCAATGTGATGCCCCCTCATAGCCCCTGATGTATCTTTGCGTGATGAAGTTCCGAGCCGGATTAAGGCTTCCAAAAAAATCTCCAATTATGTCCTTGGGTGAGACTTGTGAAAAGAGGTACTGATCATTAAACTTCATGCAGATTCGAGTTCAGGTGACTTACATAGATAGTAGCAATGGAAATTCATATGTATATCTATAGAAATGATTGCAAGAGAACATCAAAAATTAAGGTGTGTATGTGTGGAGGAAGGATGAACATATGAATATATGTATGTATACCGGGGAGAAAACCAAAAAAGAAAAGAAATTCTCGATCGAAATTAAAAATACATTGGAGGGTTGACTAAGGTGAAATGATGTATGTATGTATGTATGTATGCAAAAAAGAGGAAATTCCATCCATGACACTCGAAATCTATCTATATATTTATATATATATATATATGAGCGAGAATCAAAAAGAAAAAAATTAAGATAAGAGGGGGAAAAAAAGGGGGGGGGGAGAATGTGGGTGATCATTTACATTTGGGGGTTTTCGAGTTAGATTAGGGCCACTTTTTTCAAGAAATTGGCTACTACATGATTTCCTTTCTGAAAGATGCGACAAACAAAAAGGTAAGGGGGTAATATGAGACAGAGGGGAGGTTCAGCTGAAGATCATCCTGGTATGAAGAGAGAATACACAAAACGGGACTGACTTCTAGATTGACCATCTTGATCCTTTCGTTGGGTAAATGAGCCGAATCGGAAGCTGATCCCATGGGAAGATGAATAGCCTTAGCATTGACTAACAAAATCCATCAAACAATCCCGAGTTTTTTTAAGTCAAGATAGATAGAAAGAAATGAGTCTGGGCAAGTTTCATTCCATTTTAAGCAAAAGAATACATACATTCTTGTTCTAAGAATGGGATACTAGGAATCGATCCGCCTTCTCTGATCCATAGCGGCTTGGTTCCCCATTCCTCTTCCACACATTCAGCCAGAGCCATCGAATGCAAATCTTGAGGATGTCCCAACCACCAATCGGCGGTTTGATTGATTTTGACCTGGAGCGATCGAATCGAGACAACGCCAAACAATCAGATCAGCTGAGACAAACTAGAACCAATTTCTTGCTGGTTTTTTACGTCCGATTCAGGACTTTTTTATCTTATTTTTATTTGAGCAGACTGATTTGTTACCTCTAGGGTATTGCTTGAATTTAGATGTTCAAACGCTTCTTTCAAGAATGATACCAATGAGCTGCTGATCTCTTCCAACGATTGATCCGGTACAATCCGAATCGAGACAGCTGATTGAGCTGACGCGGGTATGACCGTGGCATGAGCTGGCCCTGTAACATCAATCTTGTGTATACTCAATGATGGTTGCCTCCACCTAGATAAATGAATGGGTATCTTAGTTAATCAGATGACATTGAGTGCACAAACGGGCGAAGCGGCAGTTTATGGAGAGAAGCAATGAAGAAAAGCAAACATACTTGGCAATCAAGTTTTCACGAATGTTTGTGATTGGGGAATGCTTGAGTAGCTCGACGTTTGCGAAGCTAAAGATCAAAACAAGGAAGGGGGTTGGATTAGTTTTGGGAGGGGCTCTTGGGATAGGAAAAAGATGGGAGAGCAATACTTGGAGATATGTTCAACAATCCGATCATAAAGTTTCTGCTCCTCAGTGTCAATGGGCCTGACGCCCTTGTAAAAGCCATCCAAACGGATCTTACCATCTTTACCAACCAAATCCCCCAAGATTCTCACCAGATCTAAGACCGGCTCATGTACAGCACCTCCATGCATACCCGAGTGCAAGTCTGGCTGTGAGCTAGTCACCTATCAACCAGTCACCAGGAAGCTTGGATTAGCTGAGAACGCGTAAAATATCACTGGCCTCAGATTGTGGTACATACCTTGACTGTAGCATGGATCACCCCTCTCAATCCAAATGTCATACAAGGAGTTTCATCGTCCAGCCAATAAGAGTTACTGAGTAATAAAAAGATGTTCATCAATCGCTCGGACAAGAAAGCCGTAAAGTTTCTGACTTACCTGACCAACACGACGTCAATATGACCAATAAGTTCCTGAGGATCCGCAAAGTTTTATACTCCTGTGAGTCGTGGAACTCATGCCGAAAGTTCAAGTGTTGGGACTGACTTTATTTTCCTTGACGGCTTTTTGAAAGCCGGCACTTCCGGCTTCTTCTTCTCCTTCGACTAACATGACTACGTCGACGTCCAAAGATCTCTGATCTAGTAAAGCGGTAACTGCGTAAGCAACAGCCAAGGTGGGACCCTAGGAAAGTGGAAGGGATGGAAAATTGCCACCATAGATGGGATGATGAGTGAGTGGATAGAGTTTGAATAGCGGTTGGAGAAACAAGAGCCACCTACTTTATTATCCGTGACACCTCGGCCGTAGAGCCACCCATTGTGACCGGTCATCACAAATGCAGGCGCCGTCCAATCCTTTTCATCACCAGCTTGAACGACATCATAATGTCCATAATACAAAACTCGCCGTCTGCGTGTTTTGGTAGTGGGTGATTCGGTGGAAGATTTCCCCTTGAATGTTGCTAAAACTAGAGGGTTCCGGCCAGGATCACCAGGTAACTTTGGCGGTGGATAGAAGTATAAGCTTCAGTGTATGGCCATCCAGAGATCGGGGCATGAGCTTTGATCTTTCAAAGCCACTCACCAGTCGCGCGTCGGCACTGTTGCAGGAGTTTATTTTGAAAGATGTTGGGTAGTGATAACGAATCCATAACTCAAGTTAAGCAAATCAAATTTCGTTTGCGTTCTTTTTTGGGGTGATTGTTGAAAACAATATCTCGAGTATATGAAATTGCTCACCCCAATTTGACCAGTGTCGTTTTGAGGTAAAGAGCAGCTTGTCTACATTCTTCGCGATGTTCTTCGTTGCTAATCGATCTATATGAAACGAACTGACTGAGGTGTCTGAACATCCGATCTGAGGTCCGTAGTGAAATGGCGATGTAAATACCAGGCGAATCAAACCATTTTATGTGCCATGACAGGTGGTTATAAACAGAATCTGCTTGCGGAAATTCACCTTGAAAAGCCATTGCTGTGCCCGCTTGGTCCTTGATTTCCGGATCATCCGTCACTAGCCTAGGCACGCTAGCCTCGGTGTGGTATACATCCCAAATCTGAAAGAGTGGTTCTCAGTTTAATGAAGGGAATTCTAAGTAGGAAGGCGGAAAGCCTGATGCTAACCTTTATGCAGTTGTCACTACCACCTGTCAGCAAAAGCCTCTTACCTTGGTGCAGGACGAAGCATGAAGCTAGTGCACTTCCTTGATGTGATTGCCATTTAAGAACCCTTTGAAAGGACGAGTCCCATCTCTAATTGTCAAATTTTGAAAAAAGTTGAAAAGAAAAATCAGTTGAGTTTGTTATTCGGCTACATTTAATACTTATTCGACCAAAGTAAGAGATTCTAGACTTGCAATTATTACTCCACTGGAGCAACCGGAAAATAGTTCTCCATTGTCAAGTACCGTCATGGTCAAGACATCATCTGAGTCCTTTGAGCTTGGATGAAGCTGATCAGCAGATCCCCGATGGAAAAGGGTTCTGATACAGGTAAAGGTATCGAGGTCCCAGATCTTGATCACTCCATCCTGATAGCCTGAGTAAAGCGTCGAGCCATAAGTGGCTAGGGTGAGTACTGCCCCGAGATCTTCAGAGGACTGGGGGGAAGCTGTGCTGGGTGCAAGATGGCTGGATGAGACAGCTGAGAGTAGTTTGAAGTTGGGATTCAGTGCGCCTGTTTGAGGATCAAGCGTCCAAACTTTGATTGTCGAGTCACCCGCTGAAAATCGCAAGAATTGTATTCATTTAAGCACATAACGACTTTCCAAAGAGCATATAAAGTATCATGAAACTCACAGCCAGAAATCAGTAAAAGTTGGTCGTTCAAGCTAATCAATAAAAGACAATATATATAACCAAAGTGGGCATAAGTAACAGAATCCTTATTATCTATGAACAGCACTTCGCTTCCGTCTTCCTTTTGATGACCGTCGACACTGCAGACGTCTTCCAATGAATCGCGTAGCTTGTTCTGAGATTCTGCGAAAAGTTCGGGTGAGAGTATATGCAAGAGTGGCGATTGAAGGCTATTGCTTTCCCGACGTCGAGCAGCCTTGAGCAGTTCAGATTGGGACATGGAATCGAAGAATTTGTGATGGACCGATCGACCAGACTGTGGGTTGGGTGAAAGACCGGCTGGACTGTGGACGAAGTGAAGACCATCCTGAGACAATGGGCCGGCTGGGATACTATGGCTTCTGACTGGTGCGCTAACGCAATGTTCCATTGGGGGGGCAGATGAGGTTGATCGCATCAAGACCGTAGAACCACAGAGAGAGTCTCCCTTGACGGAATCAGTGGCACGAGTAGTCATCGATTGGGGTAAGCAAATCCACTATCGAGCAGGAAAAACCAAACATAATGCAGATGTGTCAACAACAGCAGCTCAGCACGTATTATGATACACTGAGAGTTTTGAAGAGTTGCTCACTTGGATTGAAGTATCTTGACATCCCAAATACAATATGCTCAGCTGATTACACCAAACCAGGCTGAGGACATCACCACAGCTGTCGATAGGCGGCTTGACGACAAAGAGGGCATTTCCGAATTGATTTGTGTCCCATACTCTGACGGTATTATCTCCCGACGAAGAAAAAAGCAGCGACCGTTCGATAGAGATCGTCAAGCAGAGAACTGAAGACTGATGGCCGACCAAACGGGTAACAGGGAAAAAAGTGCGCAGGGACCAAACCTGTTGATTTAAGAAGAGATCCAAAAAATGGAACCAGTTAAAAAATTACTCCGAGCCCTCTCATTAATCATTCAAGAGAGGGCGAGATGAGGAGACTGACATGAATATCACCAGATTGGCTCCCCCCAAAGACGTTCCCAGCCTGGTAATCTGTGGCAAGACTCAAGATGGATTCTTTATCTTGGCTCGACAGGGTGGTCAGTAAGGCTAACGATTCCATTCCAAGCGGATTCCAAAGATGGGCGATGGGGTAACGAGGGGGTAACGAGGTAGGTATTGCTGTAGCTGCTACTGCATGTCGAAAACAAAACAACTGTGTAAGTTCCCCATCATCTGGACCAACACCACTTGCAGAAGATAAAGGTCACAAAGACTTACGTTGTGATTAGCTGGTCCGAATCGATAGTAAGCTTTTTTCGGGTCGGAATGTCTTCGAAAGGACCGTGATGGTTATCATCCACTGTTGGCTTGAGCCTGTTGATGTAGTAGTACGACGGATACTCGATCGAGGTAAAAGTGTTGCAATGTTTGTATGGTTAAACTCCAGCCTCACAGTCACAGTTGCCGGTCTCCACCCTCCAAAATATCAAAACTGGCTTACATAATACTTGGCTGCGCGCCCGTCCCACATACCCCTGGACACACTCCAATCAAATCTCCTGTGTGGGCAGTTATTTATGTTGGACTGCCCCCTTTCCTAAGAAAAGCTATACATACACAAGGCACCTGAGGCATACGTTGTCAGGATGGGACGTGCAAGGGAATAATTGCTAAAGGATGCTTGGGCATGGCATAATCATCAAAGTTGATTGAGTCATGGACTCATGTTACATAGAATGATAAGCTTAGGACTCCGGCACCTTAAGTTCATGAAGGAACCTCCTTGATAAGGTGATGCTGACCGGCCAGCTCTCCGTCCTATCCATCCGAGAGCATAAGAAAGCACCGATACAATTCCCCACAAGCTTATCATCAACATCATGTTTGGGAGTGGATCCTGAGTAAAGTTGTACGAGGCTGTATGTATGCACTTGAGAGAGCCTTTCCACCGAGTCTGGTCAAGTCCCCTCAATCATGACCGGGGCCAGTAGGCGATGTCGTAAAAACATGTTTGAAGAGATCGATGACTTCTTGGCAGTGCTTATCGGGTCGATTGCCTATACTATAGCTACTACAAGACACCAGCCTACCACTCAGCGTGTACAAACATCTCGGATACAAATAAAATAATAGAAAACCGCACTTGGAGAAAGAAAAGGAAATGTTTTAACTCAGGATCTTGCCCAACCAAACGTACGGTTTGTGGAGTTATGTACACACATGCTGTCGGTGTACATAGAGTATCCCGAAATCCTGGAACCCAAAATCTCCCCACACGCCGCGCTGTACCCTGCTTCCAGGGCCTCCAATCCGATCCATCTGCGTGCTCCAGCCATGTCGATCACTCATAGAAAACAGCCCAATCCCTTCAAGTTCGAGACAACACGTTGCATACAAGCTGTAGGATTGGCTCCGCCATTGCCCTCAAGTCCACCCAGAAATAACGCGATCAACAGATAAGGAAACTGTAGCTCAATTATAATCATGCAATTATTACATTTACATTTCGTTTGATCAGCTGATAAGGAAAAAAGAAATAAGCGCGTCTCGGTCAAAGGGGCTGGACAGAAAAAGTAATGCCTCAACAGTGAGTCGAACACTGGACCTTTTGCTAGCTCATACTAGGCAAACGCTCTACCACTGGGCTACTGAGGCTGATTACACTACAGGCAAACAGGTGACGCTGCGCCCCGCAGCGTCACCTAACCCAAAGGGGCCCCCCTTGGGTTAGGTGACGTTCCGCGCGGGAGCGTCACCTAATTGCCCGTAGTGTTACATGATTTGGGGGTATAATCAATATTTATAACACAGCACTGAGTTCTTAAGACTGTTTTATGATGATCAGTATTGGTTTTCTCAGAGGGTTGTTTTGAGGGATGTGCTTGTGGATAGTTTGTTTTTGCAAATTGACAACAAAGGACTTCTGCCCTGCCAAGAGCAACCACTCAATGCTGATCACAGCTTTTCTCCAAGACTGAGTTTGTCTGGTCATTCTTTGTTAGTGCTGATTCCCATTGCTTGCTCTTCCATGGAACTTTGGGGACTTGTCTCAATTGATCACTGTTTGGAAGTCAATCAGAACTAGACAAGTGTTTATGATGTGAAAATGCTTTCAATTGTAATTTGTAGGCCTACTATGAGGAATATCATATGTGGTAAAAACAGATGATGAAAAGGGATAGCCTACTTTGAGGAACTTTTTTTTTTCACACCCCTTCAGTTACTGAGTCAATTTTCCCCAATGTGCGCACATCTCAGTTGAATCAGATACTTGATATTTCATCTGACTAATTCAGACAGCTTGTCTCCCTACAACCTGATCAAGGCCCAACATCAAGTGGCAAGCCTCTGGCCTATCAAGCCACCAGCCAGCATTCTTTAGGTTTCTATTGTGAGGATAAAGTGCTAGATTGGTGAGTCCTGTTGGCCTTTCACAGCTACTCACTAAATACACATCTTCGAGAGCTTGTATACAGCATTCTTTTGAGATTATTCATGTCTTCATTGCCTTGAAAGTGCTGGGAATATTGAGAACATAAAATCTTTTGATCTCAGAGAATCAACAAAAAATCCATCAGGAACATCTTAGTGAATTCCTGGGAAAGAGAAAAAAATAGGAGGGTTCATGATGAACAGATCACATTTTTTTCGATGCTGGTTGACGATGTGGGAGGACGATGGTGGTGATGATGAGAAGCAGACAAGATTTCATTCAAAGGCGCCACAATCTCGATTGCCATATCCACGACACTGGTGACACGTGCTTTGAAGCTTTCCGAATCCGATTCGACCGTCTAAATTAAACATTAAATGGCAATAGGCTTTTAATTCCAGAGGCCATCAACAAATGATAGAAGAAGGGGAGAGGTTTACTCACAAAGTCATCCAGAGATATTTGAGCACAAACTTCGTCCAGATGGACTGTGGCCCTGGGATGAGGATGATCATCATCGGCTTCTAAGAGCTTGACGTCCCCGAAATAGACGCTGAGGAATCCGATGAGACGATCAATTTTCGCCAGTAGCGAGTGCGCCTCACGGTCTCGCTCCTCCTGGAGAGAAGAGACTGGTTTGATATCTTGCTTTTTTTCTTCCGGGGAGGAATGTGACTCGTGGTTATGTGAATGATGATGAGGTGCTGAAACTGTGATGGTCAAGACGTCAAACAAAAACGTAATTATGTGAACGATATTGATATATTTTCAGAATGGAGGAGTTGGACTCAACGTTTGATGGATGCGGGACTTTGGTCTATGCCCAGAAGAAGAGCCAAGACCGAATCCGCAATCATGTCATTTGCTATACTTCCGACCCATTCGAGCGTCATTTGGTTGACCGAGACCTGTTTGATGTCTACGGTTTCCATCACCTTTGAGATACAATGAATGATTAATAAGAAAGAAAGAAATATTAGTAATTACAGGCCAAACCACCTTTAACAAAACCAAGAAGAAACCCTTACCCGAAACGTCAAAACTCCCTCAGCATCGAGTCCCTCAATAATGCCGCCGTACATCCCATTCAAGTGCCACCGAACCGTTTCCCATCCAACGTTGATGATCAGTTTTTGCTTCTGCAGAATGGTGCTCGTCGAGAGGCCGGTATACTCTCTAAGATCGGCAGGTGAAAGCAATGTGTACGCAGCATCTTTCGAAACTAAGATCCCAGAGAGACTCGAGCCGGCCAAAGGTGCTGTGTCCTCAGCCAAAGAACCGATGGCCTAGATGGAGATTGAGCACAGAGCGGAATCAGTTCGACCTTGTTTCCACAACCCTGGAAAACATATACATACGAGAGAAAGTAAGATTTTGCGAGAAATGAATGATTGTCAAGCAGAGCACTATCGCTACTCACCCGTGCAATCCTTGAGGCTTGAAATGTCAACCGAAGAGTTTCCACATTGCGCGGTGTGTGGATCTGGATGTCACTTTTCTTCAACGTGTATTTATCCTTGAGCGCGTTTTTCAATCGAGTCATATTGTTCAATTCCCCGTGAACGAGTACCTAGAGAGCCGGTGAGCACGATGTCAGAGCGTGTATTCAAGATTCCCCCAAAAAGACTGAAAGGGCTTGACCAGATGAGTGGGCATGATTTGATCGATGAATGCAGCATTTTGAGTGTAATCCACGTGGGCTGAAAATGAAATATAGTGAACATCGAGTCGACGAGGGATTTTGTTTCCCTTCATTCCGATGATTTCATTGGGCTCTTTGAGCATCTCCTAGTGAACAGGACCACCGCGGTTTAGTTTCTGACAGCTCATTCGGAGAACTAGATGTTGGAGGCAAAGCCCAACTCAACTCGAGCCATAGTCCCTTCAATTGAATATCCTGTGACTAACAGGGCATTCCGACGATCTGGCGCCCATCGCTCCAACAGTTCTCTGCTCACACCGCTTTGCATGAATCCTGGACTTGCCATAACGACCTATATAAATGAACCGTTTATGAGATGTGAGCCGGAAGGATGTCACTTAGTATTATGGATGTCACACATTAAGGAAAAGTTGGGTGAAACTATCATGCTTACACATGGACCTCGATCATCAAATTTGTCAATGGCTTTCAAGTTGGTGACATAGCCCTTTTTGAATACACCTTTTCCCTCGCGATAAAATGTCCAGGGATTTATCCCTTGATTGAACTTGCGCTTGATTTGATCATTCATTCCATGGATAAACGTCTGATAAACCTTCATACATTTTGCCGCCAGGTTAGAAATGTAGTAGATTGGAATTTGGTTCAACTCAGGATGGTTAGCCCAGTACTCGTCTAGGATAAGCAGCAGCTCTTGAGCTCTTCCCAGCGCAAAGACCGGCATCAACACGCGACCCCCTCTCTTCAGAATGCTTTGGACCAGCGCTGAGTATTGATTCACAATGGTCAGAAGGCATTGTCCATACTGTTACAAAGATTTTTAACAGGAAATTGACAGCTGATAAGGAGAAACTCAACCTGACCTAACTTACTTGTAAATCTTTCTTCTTTCTCGAATCGGGGTTCGAGACTCTGGACCCCATAGGTAGATTCACAGATCATAACATCTGGTTTTTCATTCCAATTTGGGACCCGTGCTGGAATGAGATGACGATCTTCCTCAGTGGAGTAGTCCCCGGTGTATAGAACCCTAATCCCGCTAATCTCAATTAAAAACATCGCGGCGCCCAAAACGTGCCCGGCGGGATACGAGGTAAATCGCAGGCATCCCAGTGAAATCTCTTGATGATAGTCAATTGCATTGATCGACTGACCCATGGTAAAGATACGACGATGAGCTTAAATGCACTTGGCCACAAATTGGATGCATCATATCATAATCAGGACTCACATCATACGAGGCTATCATCTGTTCCTCATTGAATAATTCACTATCGGTCCCAATCGTACTAGAATTGAAGGAAGAGCGCGTCAAGGTGGTGGTTGTCCATGCCGTATTTGTGAGGCAGAAGACGATGAGGAGAGGAATCAATCTAACCTCATCCTCACAAAATCTTGCATTAAAAATCTGTAGACGGCTTTGGTGGGGTGGGTCATAAACACCTGTCAAAAGGGGCGGTTTCATGAGATGATGAACGGTTGGAATATTGATTTGAAAGACGATAATCTACTTTGCCGTGGCCCTCCTTGAAGTTGGTCTGTTGCGTTCGAGGTAAACACGCGAGAAATAGAGTAATGTGACATTGTATATCAAGCCGTGATCGGTCGCGTAAATCGTAGTAGGGATTGTTGGAGTAATTAGAATGGTGAAAGAGTATTTCAATCAGTGCGTTTTACCATGCATGGGTTGTTAGAGATCAGTCGGGATTAAAGGTTAATTGGCTGGAACAGGAAAAAGGGCAAGGGTGTCGGAACTCACGTTTTCCATGATGTAAGTTAATGATGCGGCATGATCTAGGTGAAAACTTGTAGTGAGGACAAACGTGAACGTCGGGTCAAGAGCAGGCTCGGGATAACTATTTTCCTGGCGGGCCGCGGTGCCAGATGCTAACAAATAATAGTACTAACTGTGTAATTAGAATTGCGTCCACGGAACTCCAGTCAATCTATTAAACATCACAAATGAGAACCAATTTCGATCAGCATGTTTTACTCGATAGGATCAGAATTTTGACACATAGGGTATGAAGGCGGACATACCTACCTCATCGATGAACGGGAGAGCTGCCATTCCACTAAATGCAGGGTGGATACCAGTATCACAAACAACCGTCGTGGACTTGTACTCGATCACACAACAACTTCGACCGACCTCTTGACCGGCGCCTAGCATGGTGATCTTCATCTCTTCGTCCAATCCCGAGACCGCTTGGACGCCATGGGCGGGTGATATCTTGACATGGGCATTGGCCGCTGATTGGGTCTGACGTGCTGACATGTTGATTTCTTGATGGAAAACCGAGAAATGGTGAGTCTGGCTGAGTTCCGCTGGGAGTGGCCCGGGGAAGGTTTTCTCGCCCCACCCGATCTGCTGTGAGAAGGAAGATTCCCCCGCTCACACACCGCATACAACCCCGAACTTTAAATTTCTTGTCTGGGCGGCCATTTTGGCCCAAGAAAATTCCTCCATTTTCTGGATGAGCTCATGAACATTGGGACGCTGAATTAGAACCCTTCATCTCCACTATGTATCATCTTTCACCTCACTGCATAGGAATTCAACTCCGCTCATCCCCTCCCAAAAATATGCAAAAAAAATCAAGAACACATGTAACTCCAAACCCACATCCCATAAGAACACTGACTTTCATGTCAGTTTGATAAGCCCCAATTTCAGACAAGCATGTGCACAAATGTAAACCATATGCTTCTAGAAGAGCTCCATCCTAAAGCACTTTTCCTGTGGGGCTTGCCCTAACCATCTCACAGCAGAGAGTTATGATCATCTAAAAGATATCCGGGAACATTACACTAAGTTATTGAAATCAGTTTGAAAGAGAAAAATGAAGCCAGAAAAGAAATCTGCCATGCTCAAAGCTTTCTAATAGTAATACAACTCACACATTAACCCAGAAATCAAAAAAAGAAAGAAACCATTGGCTGAGATGATAAAAAGAATCAATAGAAAATGATAAAGACAGAAGAAATGCTGATGTGCCACAGTTACTGGTATGGTAGTGGTTACAACTGGTGTTGATGCACCTCACTCATTTACACTGATTGAATGGTTAAAGCTGGTTCCTGATTGGATTACAAATGTGTAGTCACATTTTAATTCTTACAAAATTCCAGCCTTTCAAATTCAAAGGGAAAGTGCTTTACTTTCCAAGATCAGATTTGGCAATGTGCCGGGGAAAGAGAGGAAAATTTATGCACAGTAATGACATAGTGCTCCAGATCTGCCACTTTGGAGGCCCTAATTGGTGCTGAAGCCAACTTGTTTAAATTTTGAACTCAGACGCGTAAGAGGTTGAGGGCCAAAAAAGAAGGATCTCATTTTTGGGAAAAGCTCACAGGAAAAGAGTGTCAGAACCAATGATATTTTATTCACTGTATTTAGGATGAGTTAAGAAGACAAAGTACAAGTGATCAAAAAGTGGTTGAAAGAAGAAATGAATAAAAAATATTTTGATTAAAATTGAGAAAAGATAAAACAAGTTCTTGTAAATAACAAACTAGACAAAACTTCTCATTCTCTTGTAGTTATGATAGATGAGTTAGTCAAGAAAAGTGTTTTAAATCACAGATAACAAGGGTTGTTAATTCTTATTAATTAATTTCAAAGAAACAAAAAGTGAACTAGGAAAAGAAAGAATTCAATCACAATGACTAGAGTTGTTGATAAAATTGCCAATGTGAGTTCTAATTAGACTACAAAATTGCATAAGATTTCAACGCAAAACTAGCTGTGACTCGTGAGTGACTGTAGTTCAGTCTAGATCAAGATGATTCAAGAAATAAAAGAGAAAATAGAAAAGGAAAAAGGAAGTGAATTAAAAATTTAGGGAGGGGTAGACAAGGAATAGTGAAAAGTCAACACACCTCTACTCCAAAGTGGTATTTAAACCACTCTCAGTGGTGTTTTAGATCAAACTTCTTCAGATTTTGAGGTGTTCAAGGAAGAATCATGCCTAACTTGGGCCCCATTCCATTTGAATGAGCTTGTTGCAGTTGCTAATCTGAGCCAAGGACGGTGTGAGGTTCCTCAAATGAAGTTTTCAGCGGGAGTGTTATCTTCATGAGTAGAGAAGTTACAATTTTATTCATGGGATCACTCTGCGTTTGCGGCCTAATTAATACAAGCCGTCCAGTTTATGTCATGAGTTAGTTATGGGTGCACCGTCTCAGTCGCCGTTCACATGAAAACAACGCTTTTCGGCTGAAATCAAGTGAGGTGGTCTGAGGGCAATCCAGGGCTTGAGGCATCCTCAACTCTCACCACGTCGGGTTTGTTGGCATATCCCATCACAACCAAGTCTGAATACCCTTACGCCGGTTAATTGGCCATGGCATCCATGGCGCTCCCTAGAGCATTCGTGGAGACTTTGTAATTTTTTGAGGGCTACTGGTCAGATGCTCTGTCAGAAAATCACTTCGCGCTATTGGTCCGCTCCTCCCCTCTCTCCGAGTCTGCACAGACCGGACGGTTATATTCGTAGTCAAACCACCGAAGGCTTTAGTACACCAAAGGCCTGCGGGTTATTTGGAAGTTTTACCGTGAACCTCCGTGAAGTATGATTTCCTGCAGACTACAAATTCTTCAACCTTGATGAGTGCGCCGTTTTTACGCCAATTTCAAATAAATAAATAGTGACTGTAAACATCTTTATTACGGCTTCTGAAGGAACAAGTGTGTGATGGAGGTTAAGATAAGACCCTGGACCTGTGCTTTTTAACTGAGGTTTGAGCGACGACCAAAGCTTAGCGGGCCTTCCTGGGCCCAGACCTGACAAGGAATAGATGGCCAAAGGTTTGAGTTTATGCCATGTAGCCTCCCAGGAACTCCCCGAAGATGCTCAGATGAAATCTACGCGCGGAGCTGATCAATTGCACCGCAGTTGACCGGGTTTAGTCGGGTTTTGCCGAGGAGTGATACATATTTAAGTGCATAATCTACAGGGTGACGATGGTTTTATTTTGCAGGTGCACTGCCTTTATTCGAGGGGCGACGTGGAAGCTGAGTTGATGCGTGGCGCAGCGAGGCCGCTCAGACTTGTGGGTTTAAATCGCGCATGGACAGCTGAGCTCAGGGTTAGGGTTTCCCCAAAATGGTATATAAGCTCATCCGATTCCATGGGGTGCCTCAGACCGCCCTCCCCGCACAATCTGCTCCAGAAGAACTCGCTCACCTGCTAAAGTGGTTCCCTCCATCCTGTCTCCATCTTGCACTCTGACAAGTAACTCCAACTTGATCCCCCGTTCCTTCCTTTGACTGTGACTTTGAGACCCTTCATATCGAGGCCCTTCTAGCTCTCCTCGTCCCGGCCCTCTTCCCAACTCGGTCCTTCTGGCAGACCTCCCCCTCCCTCCTCCCGCCTCACCAAACCACTCCTGCCCTGGAACTTCATTGTCTCTCAAGCGGCCGTGCTATTGCTACATCGCTTTAGCCAACCTCCACTACTGCCCACTTACTTGACTCGCGTTCATTCACGTGGCCAGTCTTCTCGTTGTCTTCATTCGGCCTTGTCACCCACGTTTGCCGCAGACACACTCCGCATAGCCATTATTTGTAATCATGGCCCAGTCTACCTTTGTCCTTCCCGGCCCACCCGCCTCTGCGTCCCTACATAACAACGCTGGCTCTATCTCCCCCGACCAGCTTACCTTGTCTCAACCCGAAGGACAGGAAGCTACCCAAACTTCGCATCATCCCGATGATCCCAAAGGAATCATCACTAATGTCCAGGGAATTGTGCCCACCCTTCAGTGAGTCATCGCTGATGATGTGGGGAGAAGCCTCCGACTTGAACCCCTTCCCCCCTCCATCACACATCGTTCCCCCATCAACTGCACATCACAGTAGCTAATGTCTTAGCTCTTACGCTCTATCCCACCTCCCCCCATGCCCTGTCTAGAAACATTGTTGCAACGGTCAATCTCGAATGTCGGCTTGATCTCAAAACTATTGCTCTTCATGCTCGAAATGCGGAATATAATCCAAAGGTGCCTTTCTGTTGGTGTTACCAACAATTTTTTGTTTCATATTAACACCCCGTGCCCCCTCCCAATAGCGTTTTGCTGCCGTCATCATGCGTATCCGAGAGCCCAAAACAACAGCCCTCATCTTTGCCTCGGGGAAAATGGTGGTCACAGGTGCTAAGTCTGAAGACGACTCAAGGCTTGCTGCCCGGAAGTATGCTCGCATAGTTCAGAAGCTTGGCTTCGAAGCCAAGTTCACCGAATTCAAGATCCAGAACATTGTTGGAAGCTGCGACGTTCGCTTTCCAATTAGGTTGGAAGGCCTAGCCTACAACCACGGGCACTTCTCATCGTATGAGCCCGAGGTTAGTCATCCATGGTTTCCCCTTTTTGATGAGCTGCAATGGGACTCTTCCGCTAAAACCCGCAATCCAGCTCTTTCCTGGGCTTATCTATCGCATGAATAAGCAGAAGGTGGTTCTGCTGATATTCGTGTCTGGCAAGATCGTCTGACTGGTGCCAAAGATTAGTGTTTCTTTCTTTTCGTTCTCGTGCGTCTTGAAACTGATGCACGTTTCGGCGGTCCAGGGTGCGCGAGGAAATCTATCAAGCCTTTAACAACATCTATCCGGTATTGTCCGAGTTCAGAAAGCCTTAGATCGAGCTCTCGACACACTCCGTTGAAACTTAAAAAGACCACCTGCACGTCACCCACCAATCCCTCAAGGGGACATCGTAATGAATCTTGTTTCCTCCCCCCCCCCCACGAATTTCGACTTCTTCTCTTGTTCATGTTCACCCTCGAACCGTTTTTGTTCCAATTGCTCCATGCATTTTGCTGTACCTAGCCTGCAAATGTTGGGTTCGACACGCGGGCCGGGTTTCTTCCACATTTTTAACGCTTCGCACCATGTAGTTTTTATGTCTTCAGCTCGGTTGAGTTCCTGCCGGGCGACTCTTGTTTTTTGTTTTTGAAAATTTCGGACATGTCCTGTAAATACATACTATCCTCCCTTAATTACCAACTTGAAATCACAAAGCCATACTTCAAAGGCATACAAATTATTCTGAACCATTCCCAAGCCCTTTGCTAGGACTCAGGAGGAAAGTTGCAGTTAGACTGACCCTTTGTCAGTGTAATAATCATGCTACTCACACATGCTGTACTTGGTTGGATGCTACATCCAATGGACAACACAAAATTGTGTAGTACATGCAGTAATAATGCATCTAAAAGGTTCAAAAATGTATGTAGATGCTTGTTGGCAATTAAAATCTATGTGACAAGAATTTCTTTTTATTAACATCCTGTTTGTAATTTTGCAGGATTCCATGGAGCAATATGAGCCGAGAATGGGTTTGCGCTGGGAAACAACAGTGGTACCAAGACTTTCAGTATGTGTCATCATGCTTCAAGGACTGAATTTGCAACTAATGTCCTTCCTGTTCAAAGGAACAACCATTGACCAAAACTAAGTATTCCACAGAGACTCACAAATGGAATGGACAAGAAAATGTAGTATTGTAAAATGAGAAGAAGAGATGAATGAATCAAGCATAGGCATGATAGGCTTAGTAGAGCCATATGAGACCTATTTACAGGTATCTCAACACCTCTGAGAAAAGTGTCTTGAGGAACCACCCTGTGTATCCTTGATTGCACAGACCAGAGTCTACCAAGGTGGATGTATGCTATCACAAGCCATTTGTGTAATGGTGACTGGCAACTTTGGCACCAGGTAGGAAACAGTTGAATAGGTGACTGCAATGGAAGAGCCTCTGCTAAAAAAAAGGGCCTAAAAACTCACTCCGCATCGGTCTTAAGTTCAACAGAAACTCAACACAATCTTGCAAGGGAATGACAAAAATTGATTCCCTGGTTGTATTGACAGCACCAACAACATGCAATGGGAATATAAAAAGGGTCTTAGCTAATCGACTCCCAGAAAGTGGAGGATCGACTCCCAAACCCCGAAACCCCCGGAATTTCCACCGAAATCCCCGAGGAATGGGAGTCGATCCCCCAAACCCGTCAGAGGGTTTGGGAGTCAACAGACCAATAATTTTAATAAAAAAAATACAAAAAAAGAGCCAACCCCCGAAGGAGTTGGGGGTCGATGCCCCAAAACCCACTGGGTTTTGGGTGTCGCTTACCAAATAGAGCCTGCGACGGCCGGGAGGATTCCTCCCGGCCGCTGATGGCACACCCTCAGCGGCCGAGAGAAACACTCTCGGCCGCCGCTCAGATGGCGACGATCCATTTGCGATCTCCTATCTCCTCTCTACTTGCTCTCAACAACCCCTTCACAAACTTCGACCAGGACTCGGCTTGTAACAATCAATCCTTCAATTGCTTATATAAGCCCAGGTTTTG